TTTTAGGCAGGGTATTCTAAGTTATAAATAATTTGTAATTTCAGATTTGACTTTATTTTTTACTGGAGAGTTATTTGAAAGTATGGTATTTTAATTTCCAGATAGTTTTATATTTGCTCTTATTTTTAACATTTGTTACAAATTTCAGGTTTAACTGCTTTGCTGTCGCCTGTACAATTTCTGCATTTTGGAGTTTTATTTATATCTTCTTGGGACCTAGCAAATTGTCAATTTTAATATTCCCAGGAAAATGGAAAAGAAAGTATATTCTCTGAAGGGAAGAAAATTCAGCCTGTATGTGTTAATTTGACCTTATTACTTATAATATCATGGACCATTAATTTTTACTTGATTCGTTAAAGACTAAGGAAAATGTGTGAGTCTCCCACTTACAGTTGAATTTCTATTTTTCTTGTGTTTCTAATGGTTTTTGCTCTATATATTTCAGTATGATGTTATTTGGCAAATTATCTTTTTATATTTAAGGGGGAAATTTTTCCCTTTGGAGACTTGTATACCTTTGTGAATTTTACCTGATTTTGTTGTAACAGAGTTGTTTATGTAGAAATACATAGTTCAGTAAAATGTTTTTAAGCTGACAAAAATCTTTCAGGGTTTCAAAACTTGTTTGTGTCTTCAGAAGGCATTTTGGAAGCTCTTGATCTCCCCAAGGATAAGTTTCTCTTCTCTGGGGGAATTTCCTGAGCCAAAGCAAGGATGGCATTGTGCTTTTGGTGGAACAGAGTGATTGGTTTTGAGTACACCAACATTTCCAATTCTTGCTTTGGAGCAGCTGCGTACTTGGGTATGCTTAGGACACACCTGCCCTTCAGGGGGTCACATTATACCTCAGTTGGGCCGGTAGCAAAGCTGTTCTCCACCCAAGAGGCACGTTTCTTCTGTGGGGCTAGCCTTCGGAGTGGAGGGTAGCAGAGCGTAGGTGCCCTTGAGTTCCTGGCTGTTGAGGGGGAAGCTAATCTCAGAGATTCATTCTACCAGAAAAGATTTTTCCAGAGCTGTTTGAACGGATTATTCACATGGCAAAGTCTGTGGCAGGCAGAGAACCAGCTTTTCCCAAACACACGTAGGAGGTGTGGATCTCAGCCCACAGCTCCGGAGTGAAAGACTTTCTCTCTTTTCCTTTCATTCAAGTTAATGAATTTCTGTTTTGAGTCCCCATTCTGTCGAGCCCACGCAATTTGATCTGGGTCAATTCTGGGACCCCCTTTTCTCCAATGTGAGTCTACAGAGGTTTTGGGGGGGTGCTTATGTATCTTTGAAGGGACTGGGGGAGGGGACTCCTGTTCCTGCCCCTGGCCCTCTCTGCCACACACCCCGCTTCCTCTGTGACGTGCTTGCGTGCCTGGGAGTTCAAGGATTATGCAGATGTTCGTGTGCTGCAGAAGTCTCCCTGAGGCTGTCCTGGGCCCTCTGCGGCTGTCCCGTTTGGCAGCTAGGGTTTCAGGTGGAGGGTGATTGAACGTGAAGGGACCACAGGACAGGCCAGACGTGGTGGCACGAGAGCGCACTGCCAAATGGAAGCGGCTCTGTGGCTCCTGGTGCCTGCCTGTTCGCTTGATGGCCCGTCTGCAGGTGCTGGCAGCTAGCTTGTGGGTTAGCCTGTGACCCTGACCATGACCAGAGCCACCTCCCGGGGGGGCCTCCTTCTGCCACATCAGATCCTGTGTTTTACCTCCCCAGGGCCTTTGGCCTGGTTGACCTTGCTCTTGAGATAATCCTCCACGACTCTGAGGTTTCCCTTCCCGGTCCTGTCTTAACCTCTGACTGTTCTTCCTCCTTCCTCTCCTCCTCCGGCTCTGGAATGTTGGGGTCTCCACGGATCTGGCCCCCACCGTCTTCCCTCGAGACTCTCTCCCCTGGCCCTTTCAGGGCATCCGTGGTTGATTCCGTCAGTGGCTGCCGTGCACCTGGCTTGTGTCCCCATGGCCACTGCACAGGGCAGCTGCTGTCCTCCAGCACCGCCCCCCTCCCCTCCACCCTGGCCCCCGTCTCCTGACTATGCAGCCACTCATCCTCCCTCTGGCCGGCCAGTGTCTTCACCCCTGCCCTGCTGCTGGCCTTTTTCAGCCCAGAGCTCCCCCACCCTCTCTGGTTTCTCGTATGGGCAGGTGCCCAGATGCCTCTTCCCAAGCTGGAGGCATCGGGTTCTGCCCCACCCCCCACATCCACAGGGCCTGCCCAGTCACCTGCCCCGCCTAGCTGTGCCATCTCTGCTCCTCCTCTGCCGCCTGGAACCTTCCCCCGTGCCTACCCCACTCTTCTTCTTCCGCGGCCAGTTGCAGGTAAGACGGTGTGCTGCGGTGCTAATGGAACCCAGCCAGTGAGAGGCAGGGCTGGGGGGGGGGGGGGGGTGCCTGTGGCACCACGAACAGGGACCAGAGCACAGCCAGCTTGTCCAGAACTGGGGGGGCCCAGGCCACTCTGAAGACCCTCAGACCCATGAGACGTCGGCTGGAGGGCTCCCCGCTTGGAAGTAGCCCGCAGTGACTAAGTATGTGTGCCGCACGCTTCCCTCCCCACAGCCCCTAGTTCGCTGTCCACCCGTGTGCGCTGGTCGTCTGGATGCTTCGGGGCTACCTGGTGTCCAGGCCATCCCAGAGGAGCCTCCTGACCTCCTGGATGAGCGCCTTTGCAGTCTGGGCCTGGCGGTGTGCATTCCAGCAAGCTCCTTGTGCTGGACAGGATGCTGGCTCCCCGAACATGGCCCCGTCTTGTAACCTTCCAGCTGAACATCGGAGGGGGAGTCTCCTGGACGGACTTCCTGGGTGGGGTCAGAAGGAGACACTGATTGATGGCCAAAGACTCAGATGAGATCCTGCCTGCTTCGAAGAGGAACGAAGGGGGCACAGCCTGTGAACGCAGCTGACCTCTAGAAAGTGGAACAGGCCAGGAAACAGCCTCCCCTCCAGAGCCTGCGGAAAGGAACGGCCCTGCGCACACCCTTCCATTAGCCCCGTGAGGCCCACGTCGGGCCTGGAACGTCCAGAACAGTAAGATGCTGAGTCTGTGAGCCTCTAGGTTTATGGGGGTTATGGCAGCAGCTGGTCCACTCCTCCGGTGAGTTTACTTCGAATCGAGAACCTCCACTGGATGCAGACAGTCACATGCATGGTCCCACGTGATGGATGCTCCTTGATCGAGAACCGCTGGATTCTGGCACCCGCCGCCACCTGCTTGAGTCCCCTGCTCAGATTCCAGACAGGGAACCAATGAACACGTGAACAGGTAAGTCTGGCCCAGCGCCTCCTGTGTCGCTGCAGGACAAGCCAAAGGACGCTTGCCGCCAGATGGACCGGCTGCCTCGGGACCAGCTTTGGCCAGAGCGCCCGTCCCAGCGAGCAAATGTGGCCGCGGAGGGCTGCCCGGGCAGCTGGGGCTCCGGGTGTGGCGGCGGCATGACCGGTGTCTGGGACGTGGCGCAGCGGTCACCTGGGAGGTGGAGGTGCAAGGAGGACTCGGGGAGGAAGATTCGTGACCCTGTAGGACGGAGTGGCCTTGCCGGCAGGTGCAGGGCTCCATTTGGGGCCTCTTGGTGCCGGAGTGCACGGAGTGCCGTGGGGGAGGGGCTGCCCAGGGGATGGCGGCGAGGGCCCTGAGCACTGGGCGCCCTGCCTGAGGGGCCGGGGGCTGGGGAGCTGGGAGGGACTCTACTTGGGGCGGGGGGAGAGTGACGAGGGGTTCTCAGGAGACTGGGTTGGGGGGTTGGGAGTTAGGCAGTGGGAGCTAATGCTTGTCCTCCTCCTCGGCTCTGAAATCCTGGAGGCCAGAGTCCGGGCTTAATTCAGCAGCTTGGCTGGGAGAAGGGGGAGAAGGAGAGGGTTGGATGCACGGAGGACAGGTGAGTGAGGAGTCTTAACTGGCAGAACCCTCTTCTGGAAAGGATCCTGTTTCAAAGGCTCGTTGGCAGAGCTTAGGAAGCAAATGCCGAGAACCGTCCAGGCCCGAGTAGGTCTCCGAATACCGAAATCGCAGTAATTACAACAATCCCAATCTGCGAAGGATGCATAGGGAAGCCCAACCGAGCTCTGACCTTGCCATTTTTTTAAATATCAAAATCTCCCCCGAGCAACGTTCTGGTGCTGAGCTGGCCTGTCTGTGCTGGGGGCAGGGGCCGAGGCAGGGTCGGGGCACCAGCGCCCGGGCCCCGGCTGCAGGGTGTGCGTTCACAGCAGCTGGATTCGGGGAAGGACGGACACGTGACAGACCTGCGAGCCACCGGACAGCGGCCACGCTGAAGTAATGTCTAGCCACACGAGGCAGTGGAGGCTGTGGCAGCAGAAGGTTCCAGATCCCTCCAAGCAGAAGCCCCTCCGGCGGACCCTATCAGGGTGTGGTTAGCTCAGAAGAAACCGGAACTACAACAGGTTTTGGTAAATCACTTTTCTTTGGAAGTAAAGGAAGGTGGGAACCCGGGATTGCCGTGGCCGTGGTGAGAGCTGTGGGGTTAGTGCGGACGCTCTGGACGGTCTGAGACACGAGCGGACAGGCCGCCTTGCGTTTGCCCCTTCCCCTCCCCGAAGGTAACACGAAGTGAGGAGGAAAGATTACAGCACAAGACTTGAGTTCCTGAGGGAGCTTTGTTCCCTCACCCTTAGCATTTGCTTAGCAAGTATTCATCTGAAATCTTGTTAAAAACTTGAACCCCTCCTGCCCCCCCCCCACCAGACAGGGACAGCTGTGTTCAGATAGTGTTTCATTTCCTCATGAATCACACTGATGGATTAGAAATAGTTCTTTATTATTAAAGTTTATATATATACTTGATACATAAAATATATTTCACTTAAAATAATTCCTGAATATAAGCAGTTTACTCTGATTCTTGCTAAAACCACCTTCATATTCAGGCCTTTATTTTGTTTTGTTTATTTATTAGAGAGTGTGCAAGTGCATGGGCCGGGGAGGGGCAGAGAGGGAGAGAATCCCAAGCAGGCTCTGTGCTGTCACAGCGCAGAGCCCGACGCGGGGCTTGATCTCACGACCTTGAGATGGTGACCTGAGCCAAAATCAGGAGTCGGACGCTCAGCTGACCAAGCCCCCCAGGCGCCCCCATGTTCAAGCCGTTAAGCGTGAGGAGGCCGCTGGTCCAGACCGGGGACACGGTCAGTAGTACAACAGCGCGGCTGAACGTAGTCTCGGAGTAAGGGAACGGTCGTAGAGAACCCTCGGTGAGAAACAAACACTCTTGTCTCACGCCAGTGATGCCGCGGGTTCTCACATCCGGCTACGGTTCGGTGCGTAGGTCCCCTCGTCCCTGCTGCCTGCCCTGACTTTCAGAGCCACGACCTTCAAGAGACGGCCCCACATGGCTCGAAGCCCCGCTGGTCTCCGGGGCTGGCACGCGGCCGGTCCACCCGTTCACACGCCTTCCAGAACAGGCCTCGGGCCTGCGTCTCGCTCACGCTTCCTGGGCGGTGCCGGGGGCCGCGGCGGGCAGCTCAGCCGTCCCACTCGCTGCCGGGGCTCAGCTCATCGCCGTCCTCCTCGTCCTCCTCCGAGGCGGCCGACACTCTCTTGATTCTCTGCAGTGCGGCCTTGATACTTCTCTCCAGGTCACTGGGCGGCTTGCTGCTGGGGCTCAGGTCAAGGGCGGCGTGAACCTTCCTCAGTTTGACCCCCCGCCTTATGGCAGCCAGAAGTTGCTCACTGAAGGAGGCGCGGGGCAGGGGCGAGGCGGTCACTTCCGCTCTCTGCAGAGGGCTCCTGCTGCTCCTTAAGGAGGCCAGCACTTCATCCATAGACCCTGAAATTGAGCCAACAGAGCAGGTGCGGTCAAGAAACCAAACTCTCTCTCCCCAAGATGCCAGGCGTTGTACTAGTTATGCGTTAAGTCGCACACGGGTTAATAACATGGTTTCCGCAGTCGTTCCACGAAAACAATGCTCTGCACACCTGCTAGAAAGGCCAACCACTGGCTCCCTGTCTGAACACAGGGTGGCCTCATCGCTCATATTTATCACCTTGGCCACTCACTGCCCACCACTCCCTCAAAGCCACAGCGACTCAGGCACAGTCACACACACCTTTTGTCACGATGACTGTTTTGCAAGATGCAGATGTTGTCTTCTTGTGTGAGCCTGAAGAGGGTGAGTACCTGGGGTGTAAACGATCTGATCCAATACGCACGAGAGCTGCACACAATTTCAGTGAATTGCATCTCCTCCATGTTCCTTCCCTACAGTGCGCCTGCTGTATTTCACTAACTTCACTCTTTTTTTTTTTTTATTTTAAGGTTTATTCATTTTTCAGAGACAGAGCATGAGTTGGGGAATGGACAGAGAGAGGGAGACACAGAATCTGAAGCAGGCTCCAGGCTCCGAGCTGTCAGCACAGAGCCCAATGCGGGGCTTGAACTCAGGAGATCATGACCTGAGCTGAAGTTGGACGCTTAACCGATGGAGCCCCCAGGCGCCCCTTAACTTCACCACTCTTGGATGTTAGTCAGTGGTGACTCTCTCTGTGGTGGTGACAGGAGGGGGTTTGTGCACAGGAAAAGGCTGGAAGTAAACTTGAGTCAGCGGCTCCATGAGCCTAGAGGCGGCGGGGCTGGTGCCTCTCTACCCGTTAATTCTACCCACGCTGGTTACCCTGAGCCTAATGCACACCTTCCACCTCAGGATGCAAAATGCTGCCAAAACAAATTCGATCCGAGTTTCAAGGCCTGGGTGAAGGGGAGCTATTTTTTACTCAGGCACCTTGAGACCCCCATAAAATCTTTTACCTCGGCCTCCAGGAGATGGGGGCATGGCGGTGGTCGCTAATGTAGAGGTGTCCTGGTGAGGCTTCAAGACTGGGAGTCGTTTCCGGTTCAGGACTGAGAGGCCATCCTCTAACAAAATGCTAGTTCAGCGTGGAGTTAAACCCACAACGTGTTCTCACAGCTCCCTTCCAGGAGTAACAAAGTTTCACACTCAAGCATTTTGGGTGCTAACTCACACTTTTTTAGTCTTTGCAGTGAAATGAGGCTGTGTGTGTGTGTGTGTGTGTGTGTGTGTGTGTGTGTGTGTGTGTTGAGGGCCTCCTGACACCGTGTGCGTTAACCAGGAACCGGGATGAGCCCCCACAGAGGTCTGCCCACATCCAAACCCCGGGCGGGAGCATGTGAGCTCTGCTCGGGGACTCCCCTGTGGCTGCAAACCCCTGGAAGCGGGCCTATGCACATTTTCATCTGTGCCGGCTTCTGGGTACAGTGACCTGTGAACTCAGAATGCGCAGAATCCCGTAACCAGAACCATCACATCACCTGCTGTGGGGACCCTGCCCGTTCTGGGTGGGGGCGCTCAGGCGTAGTCTTTGTAACACGTGCACACGTTTACCTAACACCCCCCCCGCCCCGGCCCCAGGCCCTGAGTCTGGGCGGATTTAAGCCAGTCTCAGCAGTCAGCGGATCCGGGTCAGAACCAGAGCCCTCCTAAACAGAGTATCAGGGGGTGTTCAGTGTACGTACTTGCAAAGGCAAGACGTGGTCCGCTTTTTTTTTTTTTTTTTTGACCGCATCATTTTAGAAAGTTCTCCCTAAATGAGATTTCTCAGTCCACCGGTCAGTCTGAAGAACAGCCAGGAATATTCTAACATTCCTGGGCAGTAAGTGCCAACTGGTATTCCACTTAGGACGCACTAACTTAATTCTGTAAATGACTTGCAGACACAACAGTAAGCTGCACTGGAAGGAACACGGAGAAGAATTCTAGGGGCGAAGTCTTAAGGACCTGAAACAGGTGATGCGTCCACAGAGATCCTAAGTCAGGTGACCACCGAGTGTAGACCTGGGTTCTTCAAGGCGAGTTAGCACTTATGAAACAGACTATGCTGTACTAACCCTGCAGCCAGAGAGCGATACTAAAGGAGCAAGCACTGGGGAATTTTAAGACTATAGAGAACGGTGACAGAGACTGATGGGGCAGGGGGGGGGGATGATTGCCCTTCCCCCCACTCCCCACCTCCCCCGCCCCCGGTGCCCAGCGGGGCAGAGCAGCCGCAGGTTACCTGGGCCTCGGGGTCCGGCTGCGGCTGCGCAGTGGCGCGCTCTTGCCGTGCGTGGCTCACACTGCAGGGGAAGCGGCTCGTCTGTGACCATGACTGAAGTCCTCAGGGCCGAGTCATGGCGATCTGCTGCGGCCGGACCGGGGAAGGGCGGAGCAGGGAGAGGTGGTGGCGGAGGCGGCGGTGGCGGCGGCGACAGTTCCTCACTGGGTTCGGGGTGTGTTTGGTCACCAGCTGGAACGGAGCTGGGGTCGGTATTTCCAGAACAGTCCTGATCCTCACGGGTTTTTGCCTCGCTGCCTTCAGGGGTCTCCCTGGAGGACGCAGCCATCCATGGGGTTAGCCTGGCGGGCAGGTGCGGGGCCACAGCCCCTGAGCCCGGTGACTTCACTGCGGACCCGCCCGGGCGCCTCTGGCAAGGAAACACGGGGTCAGAAACCGGCCTCGAACCTTCGAAGGCTGAGACTTGGTTTAAGTGCTGTTGTTCTGAGTGGCTCCCCGTCACCCTGGACGGCCAGCCTGCCTACCTAGTCTGTACCTGCGGAGGAAGCATTCAGACCCCCGAAACACTTCTCTCTGATAAGCAGGGCAGGGGACACGCAGAGGCAAACACTGCTGTTTATGGCATGAGCAGTAAGCCTGACACGCAGCAACAGGAAGTTACTTAAGAAAACTCTGGTGAATTTATTTAAGATAGTAGGTAGCAGTGAAAAATCATAAATAGTACGAAGTCGTGGAACATCCTAAGAGAGTACAGATGACGCAGTGTTAAATTCACAACCACATAAAACAGCTGTATGAAAAATTCCCCGAGTGGACCTCAAAGTGATGGTTATCACGTTTCTTTTCTCTAATTTTTAGGTTTACAGTAAACTTTATAATTTAAAAATGTAAAATGTTCTGGTCTCAGGGTGCCTGGGTGGCTCAGGTTAAGTGCCAGACTCTTTTTTTTTTTTTTTAAATGTTTTATTTATTTTTAGGAGAGAGAGAGAGACAGCGTGAGCAGGGGAGGGTCAGAGAGAGAGGGAAACATAGACTCCGAAATAGGCTCCAGGCTCTGAGCTGGCAGTCAGCACAGAGCCCGACGCAGGGCTCGAACCCACGAACTGCGAGATCATGACCCAAGCGAAAGTCGGATGCTTAACCGACTAAGCCACCCAGGTGCCCCAAGTGCCAGACTCTTGATATCGGCTCAGGTCATGATTGGAGTTCATGAGTTTGAGCCCCACGTAGGGCTCTGTACTGACGGCAGAGACCCTGCTTGGGATTCTCTCTCTCTCTCTCTCTCTCTCTCTCTCTCTCTGCCCCTATCCCCTGCTCATGCTTTCTCTCTTTCAAAAATAAAATAAAGAATAAACATTAAAAAAAAGAAAAAACAAAAAATAAAACATTCTGGTCTCTCAGGTTTTAGTTTGACAAGTAAAAACATAACCTTAGGAGCGCCTGGGTGGCTCAGTAGGTTAAGCATCCAGCTTTACCTCAGGCAGTGATCTGGTGGTTCATGGGTTCGAGCCCCGTATCAGGCTCTCTGCTGTCAGTACAAAGCCTGCTTTGGGTCCTCTGTCTCCCCCTCTTTCCCCCACTCAATCTCAAAAATAAACATTAGAAAATGTTAAAATAAAAAACCATAATCTTATATAAAATGAATCCTGAGTGGTGGGAAGGTGGTCCCTAATGAATGCACTGACTAGCCAACAGAACACATAAAATGTTAATACTACATAGCCATTAAAATGAACTAGATCTATATATATAAGAATACATCTCCATATAATTTAAGTGAAAAAAGACACTGGCAGAGGATGTTTACAATGTGACAATACTAATGTAGATTTAGTAGTAATGTATCAAAAGGACAATCCATGATACAGAATATAGGCATGTCTCATCTTATTGCCCTTTGTTTTATTTTGCTTTGCAAAAATTGCATTTTTTTTTTTTTGTTACAAATTGAAGGTTCGTGGCAACCCTGAGTCAGTCTATCGGTGCTATTTTTCCAATAGCATTTACTCACTTTGTGTCTCTGTGTCACATTTTGGCAATTCTTGCAATATTTCAGACTTTTTCATCATTGTTATGGTGATCTGTGATCAGAGATTTTTTTTTTTTAATTTTTTTTTTATTTATTTTTTTTCTAGGAGAGAGAGAGACAGCGTGAGCAGGGGAGGGTCAGAGAGAGGGAGTCACAGACCGAAACAGGCTCCAGGCTCTGAGCTAGCAGTCAGCACAGAGCCCGACGCGGGGCTCGAACCCATGAACCGCGAGATCATGACCTAAGCGAAAGTCGGACTCTTCACTGACTAAGCCACCCAGGCGCCCCAAGAGATCTTTGCTGTTACTATTACAGTTGTTTTTGGGGCGCCCAAACTGTGCCTGGGTAAGACAGTAAATTTCACTGCCGTCTCATTCTAAGAAACGGCCCAGCCCCCCACCTTCTGCAGCCACCGCCCTGATCAGTCAGCAGCCATCGACAGCGAGGCAAGACCCTCCACCAGCAGAGATGGTACAACTTGCTAAAAGCTCGGAGGAGGGCATTTTTTAGCAATAAAATATTTTAAAATTAAGATACGTACTTTTTTGTAGACCTAATGCTATTATTTGCACACTTAACACACTGTAGTGTAAAACACAGTTTTATATGCACTGGGAAACCAAAACATTCATTTGACTCGCTTCATCGTGGTGGCCTGGAGCTGAACCTGCAGTGTCCGAGGTATGCCTGTATTTCTCTCCCCCGCACCTTTTTCTAAGCCTTTCCATGACAACAGGGTGATGGCAACAAGCCCCACACCTCACGGATGCTGTTGCTGGTCACGCAGCCACCATGCCGTGCATTTCAGTCATCACATGCCGGTAGAATCAGAATCCTAGAAACCCTGGACCAGGGGCTCATCCAACCGTCCCCAAACCCCAAGGACCCCTCCTGGCATCAGCGTGTTGCTGTGACCCTGGCCTGTTGGGTTCTGCCTTCCAATGCTGGGAGTCTCTCTCCCCAGGACTCCCCCAGGACACACCAAATCCATTACCTCCTAACATAACTGCCCCTCCGATACTTAAAAACAACCTGTCGGGGCTCAACAAGTGTCACATATCAAGGGAATCACTTCCAGTCTTCTCTCTCTTCTACTTACTCCCTTCTGAATGGGCTCCTATTGGCTTTGTCCCCTGGGAGGATAGCACTACGTTGGTAAACACAGACGCCCCTCATTCTACAGAGGACACTTCTGTTTGTACATCTTAAAAACTTCTGGGCTTTTCTGGAGCCTCTTCACAAGTGACTGCTAGGAGGCTGGAGGAGACTCAATTCTCAAGGTTCCTCACCTGCATGTAAAGCCCACACACTCCTCCCTCCCACCCCCCCCCAGAGATCCACACCTCCAAGGACCACAAAGCCCTCAGCTCGCACACCTCGGAGACAACTCGGTTCTGTTCCAGACCACCACCAATGTGAGGCCAACATGTTAGATTTTTTAATTCATCGTTGAGAGCATAGGTGGCCTGATTCTGTCACCTTCCATCGGTCTATCCGTCCCATCTCCGTGTTTGAAAGACTGATCCCTGATCGGACGCTTCGGGGCTAAAGAGCCGGACTTGCACCCCTGGATCCGTCCTCCATCCGGGTTCCATTAACCAGTGCCGCGGGCCGCGGGGTTAGGAATTAAATGAGAAGGAACGGGAAGTGTCTAGCACCAGGCTGGTATGCAGCAGGTGCTCGTTAATGAGCAGAGTAGTGAGCACATCAGAAAACCAGCTGAGGTCAGCGGGTCCTGATTTATCACTCTAGTGGCCCGTTTCCTTGTTAGTAGCACAGCACACCTTCAAGGCCTGACCCCGGAGTCCTGTGTGGGAGTGGGCTGTCCTCCCTCCGGGCAGCTACAATCTTGGGTCTGTGTATGACAACAGATTTGTTTTATATTCAACTAGTTTAAAATTATTTTTAAATAAGTGGCTACTTGTTTTTAAACCTATTCACTTTTAACAGAGCACTTAACGATACTCTTTCACAGGGCTTCCTTGACTGCATTTCATTTGTTTTATTTTTTATTTTTTTAAATGTTTAGTTTTGAGAGAGAGAATGCATGCAGGGGAGAGGCAGAGAGACAGGGACAGAGGATCCAAAGTGGGTCCTGCACTGACAGCATCAAGCCTGATGTGGGGCTTAATTCCACAAACCATGAGATCATGAGTGAAGTCAGACACTTAACTGAGCCACCCAGGCGCCCCTCCTTGACTGCATTTTAAAGAATTGTTTGTTAGAAGTCAGCAAAAAGCAAGCTAAGGTGGAGGGCAATTTAACTGTTTTCAGTTTTTCTGTGTGGTCAACAGCGTGGTGTTGAGTCAGCACCACTGGGTCAGGAGGGGAGGGCAGGAACCCTGCTGTCTGGCAATATCAAAAATGTTAACGTGCTAACATTCTTGTTTGTTACTTCTATTCTAAAACTAATGGCATTTGAGAAACGTTCTGTGTTCCAAATTATCAGTTCACTATACATTATACAAGTCTTCATTTCTCCAGAAAATGGACGTGAAGTAATTATTTCTAGGATTTACCTCTTTATTTAATATTTTCTAATGTTTATTTTTCAGAAAGAGAGAGAGAGAGAAAGACAAAGCTGAGCAGGGAAGGGGCGCATAGAAAGAGATAGACACAGATTTCAAAGCAGGCTCCAGGCTCCACGCTGTCAGCACAGAGCTTGACATGGGGCTCAAACTTACAGATTGTGAGATCATGACCGGAGCTGAAGTCAGATGTTTAACCAACTGAGCCACCCAGGCACCCTTAGAACTTACCTCTTTAAACGCTCTCAGTCGCTGGAGTGTTTTCTTGCGCTCCTGGTTTATCCATTCTTTTTTCTTTCGCTCTTCTTCTTTTATCTTGTCTCTTCTCTATATTTAAGCAAACATATATTTGTCAATTTCTCAAACTAAGAAGGACAGGGTCTGTGACCCAGTGTTAGCACCTCCCCCATCTCACCCCCCGTCCCCTCCCCAGGCTGAACCTCAGGCTCCTCAGGGTCCAGGCTGGCAGCTGCCTGTCCAGGGCAGCAGAGCCCCAGTGGCCACGGATTTAAGTCAGCGAGTCCCGTTACGCAAATACAAAACATCTTCTTTCGACCACTTACCATCTGGATGCTGTGATGCTGATGAAAACGTTTCATGCTTTCTGCAGCCAGTTGTAGTCGGAGCCGATGGTTCTCTCTGCACTGATCCTGGGAGAATGACACAAGTCACCTACGTGGTTCTTAATGTTACTGTAGCTACTGCTTCAAAGTTTAAAAGAAGAAGGCACTATATTTGTGCTGTCATGTAAGGCATTCGTTAGTAGGAGTTCTGTGGTGCCAGGGTCCTGCCTCCGCTCAGTGCTGTGATATGTGCTGACTGGCGCCTTACAGGGACCCATGGTACCCAGAGGGCCACAGCTGTGATTCAGCGCCATGAAAGACGAAAAAGCAAATCCACCAAGTGGAAGTGAGAGGACACACAGGCAGCCCCCCCTTCTTTTTTTTTTTTTTTAGCCCCCCATTCTTAAATGGCTTGTGTCCTAAGAATCTGTTGCAGTGTGATTATTTTAAACCCCTCTCTTCACATTACAACAGTATTTCCAACCATAACTTCATGACTATATCCAACCTACAAATACCTGAAAAATTATATTAAAAACTGTATTTTAACTAGGCTTAACCGTTCTTAAGGTATATTACTTTTTCTTTTTTTCTTTTTTTTTTTTTTAATTTTAGAGAAAACATGAGCAGAGGAGGGACAAAGAGGGAAAATCTGATGCAGGCTCCATGTTCAGCACAGAGCCTGACTCGGGGCTCAATCCCACAACCCTGCGATCATGACCTTAGCTGAAGTCAAGATTGGACACTCAACTGACAGAGCCACTCAGGTGCACCAAGGTATATTACCTTTTATGCATTCATGGAGTTTTGGGTTTTTTTTTAACTTTTGTCTATTTTGAGAGAGAGAGCATGGGGGAAGGACAGAGACAGAGAATCCCAAGCAGACTCAGCACCATCAGCACAGAGCCCGACACGGGGCCCTAACCCACAAACCCTGAGATCATGACCTGAGCTGAAATCAAGAAGAGTCAGATGCTTAATCGACTCAGCCACCCAGGTGCCCCATAATCCTGGAGTTTTTAAAAATTAAGGAAAAAACCTACTCACCAAATATAAGGATTGAAATGAGCTGAATATTATTTCTAATATTCCACAGTCAATGATTTACAATAAATTTTAGAATTCACTATAGCTGATTATTAGAAGTTTCTACTTATTGTGATTTTAAAAATACCTGTGTATGTAACAGGCATTCAACAAACAATTGCTGAATGGATGACTAAAATCTAGAGATTATGGTAAATGCTTAAATCCTGAAAGACACAGAATCCTTTTCAAAAAAAAGTTATATATATATATATATATATATATATATATCAAAATATATATATAATTGCAGCCACTGGTATCTATAGAAACACACAAGAAACTAATGACTCTTGGTCAAAAGCCTTCTCTTGAGTAGACAAACCCCCAGGCGGGGGGCGGGGACAGCTGCCGGCGCACCTACCTGTCTATTCCTGAGACAGGCCCTCCGGACACATATCCTACCCCGCTTAGACTCCAGGCGCCGGCACTGCCGGCGCAGCTCTTCCATCTCCAGGGCCTCGTCACCCCGCAGCCCCATCACAGCTCCGACAGCTTCGAGTTCCTCTGGACTTTCACATGGGTCATAATAGACAACTTCACCCTCTTTATCTAGAAACATAGTGGTGATATTTAAAACATGTTTGGTATAAAAAAATTAAATGTAAGGAGAGAGTACTGATGACTTGTCACCTCATCACCCAGGGAGAACTGCTATTGACATTTGTGTGTGTGTGTGTTGTGTGTGTATGAGTAAGTGGGGGTGTAGACACATACATACATACATACACATACACACACACACACACACACACACACACACACAGCCACAAAAAGCAGTAACAATGCTAAGAGGACATTTTCCATCTGATGGAAATAGAATTTCAATGGCCATGTAGTATTCTCTAATTTAAGCATTCTCTATCATTAGAATATTCCAAGTTCCATTATTATCAATTTCACCATGATGAACATCTGAACATAAAGTCTTTGCATACATTTTTACTACTTCCTTAGAAGATGAACAGTCCAGGCTCGCGGCAGCTCCAGAAAGGAAACCTGCATTCTACCAGCAGTATGTCATTAAGGAGCCTTAAAGATACTTAATCTTGATTACATACGTATCTTTTAAAAATACATGCTAATTGTAACAAACCCTAGCTCTACAGAACTAAGTGAAATAGAAAGTGAACTTTTCTTCCTTTCCCAAACCTTTGGAAGCCCATTGCCAGAGGGAAACATTTTGAACAATTTGGCATGCATCTTTCTGGATTAAGTCTTTTAACAGGATTCTTTCCTAAACATGTAAAATGCATATAACCTGAAATTTCTGCAAAGTTTTTGAATACTCAGGATTCAATTAAATGTTCAGATTTGGTATGGCTTAACCCAGTGAGCCACCCAGGAGGCCCAAAGAGATCTTTTTTTTTTTTTTCTTTTTTTACTCACAAACATAATAAGAGAAAACATAAATAAAATAGTTTGGGGATGAGGAGCATTTTGCCAAGCATAACATCAAATGCAGAAAGACTTCACCAGAAGCTGATGTGACTTCATAAAAATTAAGTATTTCTGTAAGGCAAGAGAAAGCAAATGACAGGAATTCTTTACAACATTTGACAGATAACAGAATAACAGCCTTAGTATGGAAAGGGAACATTCCCAAGAAAAATGGGCAAAGACCAAGGATAGGCAGTTAACAAAAGAATACAGACATCCAGTACACATACAAAATCGTGCCCGCTACACTTGTGATTAAAGAAATGAAAACTACAAGACGCCATCTCCTATCAGGAAGGCAAGAATTTACAAGAATGGTATAATATGGGGAAACAGCTCTTTTCATAATCTGCTGTGGGAAGTCTTTCTGCACAACCTCGATCTACAAGGCCATTGTACAGTATGGAATTTAGAAGTCAGAAAATAATAGAAGCGAGGAAAAAATGTGTATCAAAGTACGACCATGGTGTTAGCAGGTGTGTGTCGAGATGTAAAATTTGCTCTGTCCTGGACTCAGCAGTTCCATCCAAGGAAACACTCTCTTACATGCAAAGGCGTGTAGAGGAAGGTCCCCAACTACACTGCCGTTCGCGGAGTGAAAAGCTGGAAAGCACGATACTTACGCATAATGCAATGCTGTGCAGCCATTAACGTTTTTGATGTTTTTCTTACTGAAATGGAAAGATGGTGTGTACATAATAAATGAAAAGAGGCTACTATACAGGGTATATAGTTTTGGCTTAGAAATTGCTATTTACTTATACACATCAGCACACACACAGGGCTATGTCAGTATCTATAGATGACGGAACTGGGGTTCCCTTTGTTTGCTGTGTGTGTGACAATGAAGGTATCATCTGCAGAAGAGAACTTAAAAGGAAACTTCAGGAGATTTCAGTAGATGTTTTAGACAACTCAGAAGAAGTGGTAACATGGTCTTGGTATTTTCTTAGGTGTGATTTAAACATTTTAACAGACACATTTAAGTATAAATCTTACCTCTTATAAGCCTTTTAATTGAGTCCAGCTGTGTTAAAAGCAGTATTTCTTCATATTTTAATATCTCAAATTTAACCTCATATAGTTCTAATTGGACTTCATAATATTGTATTTCCAATTCATCTACAACATCTATATTTTTTTCTTGTTCTGGAAGATCTTCCATCTGGTTTTCACGGAAAAAGTAAGAGCAAGTTTAAATAATGAGCGCATTAAAAGCCAACATTAGACGCATTTGAGCAATGTTCTATTCTTTGTTTAATACCAAATATAAAACTAACAGACAAGAAAAATTTTTCCATTTCATTTAATAAAACAAAATGCCTTACTTGATGTTTGTTACAAATATTTTAATTTACCCTTGAAACATACGAAAACATTTAGGTTTTGAGAAAAATAAGTGGCAGTGAGGCACCTGTGGTGTTTTCTGCTTCAAAGTCCTACCTTTAGAGGAAGAAATTTAAGTGGCTACGATCCTGGGTTAAAGTACCTTTTTATTGCCCTCAAGTTGTGCTGCAACACCGCTTGATTGATTTAAGTCTGTCACCTACTTCGGTGCTGAGCTCAGTGGCATTATCAGGAGCGTCCTACAATATAATATTTCAAAAACATCTTGACCGGAAGGAAGCCTCCTGCCAACCTTCCACGGTCTAAACTCCCACCAGGACAAGACCCTGCAGTGACTGGAGTGCGGAAGCTCTGTGACAGCGTTTGGAAAGAAAGGCGAGACCTAAAAGTGTGTTTTTTTGTTATTTTAGATTTTTTTAAGTTTATTTATTTTTAAGAGAAAGAGCAAGTGAGGGAGCAAGGGAGGGGCAGAGAGACAGAGAGAATCTCAAGCATGCTCTGCGCTGTCAACAGAGGGCCTGACGCGGGGATCAGACCCACAAAGTGCTAGATCATGACCTGAGTCGAAACCAGGAGTCAGACCGACGGAGCCACCTGGGCGCCCCTAAAAAGTATGTTTTTTTAAACGAAGTTTCATTTATCTTTGTCTTACCTTTCCCTGAATTTCGGCTCTCTTGTGATTTAAACACAACTCCTTGGCCCTCATGAGCTGCAGCGTCTCCTGGGCTAACATCAGCTTGAGTTTTTCTAGCCGGGGAGTTGCCGCGGCCCAGGCAGCCTGGCCAAACCTCTTCCCGTCCTGTTGCATCTGCTTCTGCATTCCTGTTGGATTGGAATTAGTGAGATAAAACATAATTACAACTCGCCAAAAGGGGAAAAAAATGTATCCCGAGCTAATTCTTTGTTTACCGCCACCCACATTACTTACCAAACAGTCTTTTTAAAAAAAAAATGTTTTATTTTAAGGACCTTTTATTGTCGCAAAAAAATACATACATAAAAATTTTAGATACTTCATTTAAAAAAAAAAGAATTAATACATCCCGAATCTCACCTACTGGAGGTGATTATTTCTTACACGTTGGTGCACATACCTTCCAGACTGCTTCTGTGTCCAGCTAGACAGGCAGTTTGAACCAAAAACCAAAAATAAGCAAAAACACCCCACTAGATCATCATTCTTTTTTGTATCTTATTTCACTTGACAGACCGTGGAGGTGTCGCCATTCAGAAAAAGCAGATCTAGAGCAGCTTGCTTAATAGCCGTGTGGCACTTCACTTCATGAATGTAACTTCAGCTGGCAGCCACTCGGTGTCCTGTCTGGAGCCATCGTCAACAACGACTCAGAGATGAGACAGAAGTCCTCGCCCCCACCCCCGCCGCCTTCTGCCTCCTTGCCCTCTGCGGCTCCGGTTCCCATGAGGCTCTGCTCCAGCCCCTGTGCTCTGCCCTCCTCACACCTGCCACACTCGCCAGGCCCCCTCCAGCCAGGGCGCCTGAGCGAGCGCCCGTTCCCCTGCCTGGAACACTCTGCCCTCATGGCGATGCTCTCTCGGCTCCCACTGACCCTTCAGATCAGGGCAAGGGCCACTTCCCAGAGGCCCTCACTGACCTAGTGAAGGAGCCTCGTTCCCCTTGGTGGCTCTCAGAGCCCCGTGCTTCCCTTCTTCTTGTGGCCAGCTGCAACTGCCGTTCTCCCTGTGTCTGAGTGAATACAGAACAAGATCGCTCTGCCCTCACCAGACTAGACTGTGCAGTGTCTCTTTGTACTTCTCCTTACACTGAATCCCCAGCTCCTAGAAAACACAGTGCCTGGTGTTCAAGAGGCACTCAAATGTTTTTCAAATAAAATGAAAATTACACACATCTTAGTATAGAATTTTAAACTGTTACCTGCTAACGCTTTTACTGTTTCTTTAAAATAATTCACCGTGATGTCCTGAATAGAGACTATAGCTTCTTCAGCCCGTCTGCTCCATTCTTTGGCTTCCTTCTGCAAGGCAACTATCCTTTTAGGACCCAGATCATCCTCATCCAAGGATTTCTACAAAAGAAGGGGACACTGTATCAGTAAGAGAGAAGAGTCGTGTAGAGCCATAGGAAATTGAAAGGAAATTGGTTACAGGCATTATTTCAACTACTTTTATTACTACTACATAGTTGATTAAATTTGATTCATTCAACAATTCCTTACTGAGTATGAATAAGGCTCTAAGCTAGGCACCACCTAGAAGACAAATGGATGCTCGGCGGCATAAAGAAAAATAAGAATCTACTTTGATTCTGCATTACTAGAATATCATTTTCTAGAGAGGCATGCTGTCAAGTTATGTTTCTCTACTAATACACAGTTGACTAGGGGCTCCTGGCTGGCTCAGTCAGAGAAGCATGCAACTCTTGACCTCGGGGTCGTGAGTTCAACCCCCAGGTTGGGTGTAGAAATTACTTTAAAAAATAAAATAAATTAGGGGCGCCTGGGAGGCTCAGTTCGTTAAGCATCCAACTTCAGCTCAGGTCATGATCTCACAGTTCATGAATTCGAGCCCCGTGTCGGGCTCTGTGCTGACAGCTTGGGAGCCTGGAACCTGTTCAGATTCTGTGTCTCCCTCTCTCTCTGCCCTCCCCTGCTCCTGTTCTGTCTCTCTCTCTCTCTCAAAATAAACATTAAAAAATGTTTTTAAAATAAAAAATAAAACTTAAAAAAACAAACAATTGTTTAAATCCCATATGTGTTGCTAGACATTCAGTATAGGCCCTGATACACAGCGTTCAAGTGTTAGCTGTTGCTACAGCTTCTTTTAGAAAGGGACACAGCAGGAAGCTTTGCAATATAATTCTTCTCTGGAGGGCAAAAATAATACAAGAGCCTAAAAGATAGTAAAATCTATATGTTCATAACTATGACATGTGCTAGTTGTCGTTCGGCATCCAATTCTTCTGCAAAGCTAACAACAAAAGTGAGGAGCCTGCTTGGGACTCTCTCTCTCCCCCTCTCTGCCCCTCCCCTGCTTGCTCTCGCTCTGTCTCTCTCTAAAAATAAGTAAATAAACTTTTAAAATGTATATATATATACATAGACACACACACACACACACACACACACACACAGGTTAGCCATCAGGGAAATGTGAATCAAAACCACAAAACACCACTTTACATCTACTCAGCTGGCTAGAATCAAAAAGACAGTGTTGGCAATCCTGTGGACAAACTGGAACCCTTATCAAGTCCTGGCAGGGATGTAAAAGGACACTTCTGCATTGGAAAACCATCTGACGGTTCTCTGAAAACGTTAAATATAGTTACCCTGTGACCCAGCAATTCCGGATATACATCTAGGAGATATACATCTAGGAGAAATGAAAACACAAGCCACACAAACTTGTACACAGATGTTCAGAGCAGCACTATTCCTAATAGTCACAAACTGGAAACACCCTAAATGTCCATCAACTGCTAAACGCCTAAGTAAAATGTGCTATATCTGTACAATAATTGCTTTTTGACAATAAAAAGAAATGAAGTTCTGGTACATGCTACAACATGGATAGGCCTCAAAAACTCACTGCATAAAAGGGGCCAGACACAAAGGACCACGTACTGTATGAACCCATACAAGATGAAATGTCCAGCGTGGGGAAATGCCACAGTAGCGGAAAGCTGGTCGCCCAGCGTTGGAGGAAATGGCGAGTGACTGCTAATGGGTATGGGGTGTCTTTTGGGGGTGATACACATGTTCTGGAACTAGACAGTGGTGATGGGTGCACAAATGAATAGACTTAAAACCACTGAATTGTACACCTTAAATAGGTGAACTGTGTGGTCTATGAATTACATCTCAATGAAGCTATTCATTAAAGAAAAAACATGCAGGAAGTAACTATCCAAATCATAAGCTTTCAGAATAATGAACAGAACAACGTTCTCCAGAAGTTTGAGTGGCATGAGTTTTATCTAAACATGATGCCATTTCTACAGGACAGTGGTGCGGCAGCGGCCATCAGTGTGTGTATGGAGGCTGGCCCAGTGCAAGGGGCAGAGATCAAGAGATCTCTCTGATCTCTTCTGACTCCAGTTGGCTGAGACCCAAGGAAAGCCTTTAAAGGCCTCTGGACTAGAGGGGTCCTTTGTAACCTGACAGGAGGTCACTGGGGTGTCTCACAGCTCAAGGAAATAAGAATGATGGCAACATTTACTAAAATTTAAATTAATGAATTATGATCCAGGGCCTGCTATTTAAAGTTTATTTTTATCAGGGCACCTGGGTGGCACAGCCAGTTAAGCGTCTGATGTCAGCTCAAGTCATGATCTCTTGGTTCATGAGTTCGAGCCCTGCATCGGGCTCTGAGCTCTCAGCACAGAGCCTGGAACTTGCTTCGGATTCTGTATCTCTGTCTCTCTCTGCCCCTCCCCCACTAGTGCTCTCACTCTCTCTCTCAAAACTAAATAAACATTAAAAAGGTTTCTTTAAATAATAATAAGCTTGATATATCTACACTATCATCTAAACAGAAGGGTGAACCCAAAGGGCAAACACAGACTGAAACTTAAATATGATGAAAGAAATAAAATGTGACAAATAGTAGATCTGATAAAATAAAAATATAAAGAAAACATACCAAAATATCAAGCTTACATAAGGTTGCAACTTCTCTCATATCCCTAAATGGCTGCAGCAAATACTGGAAGAATGTGGTTGCCGCCATAACTAGTTCCTGGTAGGCTTCATCTTCCTCTTGATAAACTTTCATTAATGCCACCATGGTGTGGGCTGTATCATGTCCCTGAAGGACCTAGAAAGCAAAATGTAAGTAAAGCTCAAGTATGGACAGTATTTATAAGCTCGTACCAAACAAACAAAACTAAGAAACCTTAATGTTCTAAACTTTAACTTTTTTTTATTTCTTTATTTTTGAGAGAGACAGAGACCATGCGAGTGGGCGATGGGCAGAGACAGAGAGAGAAAGAGAGAGAATCCCAAGCAGGCTCTGTGCTGCCAGCGTAGAGCCTGACTCGGGTCTTGAACTCACAAAACCATGAGATCCTGACCTGAGCCAAAACCAAGAGTCAGAAGCTTAACCCACTGGGCCACCCAGGCACCCCAATGTCCTAAACTTTAAAATTTTAAATACTGATTAAATATTGAAAAGCTATTGTTCTCCGACCAAAATGCACAATAAAACAAGAACGGTTAAATCAAATCCCGGTATAGCCACAGTAGAATATCATTACTGTAATCATTCAGTAGTGTGACACCACTAACTCCTTTTATAAAATCATTTTAATATAAAAAGCTCATTCTCTATGTAGCTTGAGAAGATGTAATTAAGATTTTGAAATGGGACTGAATTCTTCTCTCACACCCCTCTTCTGTGAAAGAATGCACAGAGGGGCCGCTCAGTCGGTTAAACTAACCTTAGGCTCTTAATTTCGCTCAGGTCATTACCTCACTCTTCTGGGTTTAGCCCTCCCTCCCACCCCATTGGACTTTGCGCTGCCAGCCCAGAGCCTTGCTTGGGATTCTCTCTCTCTCTCTCTCTCTTCCCCCCCCGTCCCTCCCTCTTCCCCTACTCTCTTCTCTCAAAATGAAACATTAAACAAAATTCAAAAGAAGGCAGAAAAAAATCATCCAGAGTAAGAATGGCCTATAATGAGAACGGGCAAGGCGTCAGAGCACTACTCTTGGGCACCCACAGTACACTGGGCGCACACACGCCATATTTTCTCCTAAACCCTCCGGTGAACTTGTGGTCCCCCTCCCCTTAAGTGCTGAAAGTTTACCAAGGAATGAAGTGTTCGGTTCCCCGAACGACCTCCTTTAAGTCTAAAACAGCACTCCTGTCGCTATTCCAAATCGGTACCTAAAGCTCAAGCCCCCTCCGCTTCCATTTGACCGAGTCTGCGCTACTTTCACCGCCTTCCTCCTAGAGGCCCCGTGGGTCTCCGCTATTCCTGGTCCCTTCTTCCCAGGACCTGGAAGCGTTTCCATCTATGCGTGTGGTCGGTCCCCACGTGCACTACGGGACGTCCCCGGTTCCGCGTTCCCCGAAGACGCACACGACAGCCGGCTCCGCCAGCGTTTTCGGACAACGAGGTTGGCACCGAGAATGGACCCCGACCCGCCCGCGCTCGCCGCGGCCCCAGCCTCGCGGCTCCGCGACAGGTGACGCGCACCTGCGCACCTGCGCACCTGCGCGCGCCCCGCCCAGGCCCCGCCCAGGCCCCGCCCACCGTCCGTGGCTCCCCCGCCGCCCGGCTCCCGGGCAGCCCGCCCCCTCCCCGCCCACGCCGGCCGCACCGCCGCAGCGACCCCTAGCGGAGCGCGGCGGGAGGGGGCCGGCGCGTACCTGGCACAGCCGCGCGCCCGCCGCGGCCCACTGCGCGCGCAGGGCCCGCTCCCGGAAGTCGCGCGGACTCTCGCAGTCGGCCGCGCCGCCCTCGGCCGGGAAGAGCGCGTCGCGCACCGCCGCGCCGCCGCAGCCGCTCGCCGCCTCGCCCAGGTAGCGCTCCAGCCGCGCGCACAGCTCCTGCAGCGCCGCGTCGCCGGGGCCCTCGCGCGCCGGCCACACCAGCTCCCACAGCCCGAGCCCCAGGCCCCAGGCCCCGCCGGCGCGCGCGTCCAGCTCGGGCGGCAGCGGCGGGAAGCAGCGCTCCAGCGGAGGCCACAGCGCCGCCAGCTGCCGGTGCGCGCCGCGGAGCCCGGCGGCCGACAGCAGGCCCGCCCAGCTCGGGGACGACGCGGCGGGCTCGGACTCGGACTCGGACCGGCTCCCCTCGCGCCGCCGCCGCCGCTGCGCCGTGCGGTCGTGACAGGTCACCGCGAACTTGCCCTCCGCGTCGTTCCAGGCCACGAGGAAGCGCAGCTGGTGCCGCTCGGGCACGGCGAAGAGGTCCTCGCGGACCGGCACCCAGCCCTCCAAGCTGTCGGGCTGCGCGTCCTCCATGGCCGGCGGCTCAGCGGCCGGAGGGCTCGGCTCGCGCGGGCCCGGCCTCCCCGCAGCCCCCGCGGCCGGCCGCGGCCGGCGACATTCCTGCGGGACTGCGCTCGCGTCAGCGCCCCGCGGGCGCCGCTCCCTCCCCCGGAGCCTCTGATTGGCTGTCGGCGGCCTGGGCGGGTTCTCGGCAGCCAATGGGGAAGGTCGGAAGTCCGTATCCGTCCGGGCCGTCGGAACCCAGCGCTGTCGCAACCGCTTCTGGGGCCCGAGAATTACCTCTGTTGCCTCACCTTGTCCACCTTTGTACCTAGTGATGTAGGAAAAGCGAGCGAGTTCTCGCCTCCGCCTCCTGCGGTTAAACTTGGAACTTGTTGAGAACGGGGACCGGCGGTGTCTCCTCGCCCACTGGGGCGCTGGTGAACACGCGCTCGAGAACGGTGCAAACTTGCGGGAGGCCACACGTTAGACCAGACGTGAGGAGTTATTCCCGGAGGGCCTCTAGGCTCCGGGCACTGGGTAAAAGCCACACATTTGTTGTTACCAATTCTACAAGCTCTCACGGGGCGTGTGCTGGGGGCAGTGCAGGGGGGCATCCCCCCCAAAAAAATCTCTCTCTCTGCCTTCAAAGCGTCCCATGTCCCAGCCAGCGTGTTTAAATACGATGTGTTCCCACTCTTCATTTTACAGCCAGGGAGACCGAGACCCAGCGAAGAAACGTGTCCTAACACGCACAGTCAGGCTGGTGAGACCACCGGCTGCTACCCAAGACCTGTTTCAGGAAGTCGGGATGTCTGGTTTGCACGTGGGGATGGCATGGGACTTGGAGCTGGTCGGGTTCATGGCCTCGCCTTTCTGTCCAGGAAACGCACAGTGTAGACGGAGAAGCAGTGTATGTCAAGCTTCCATCCTGGGAGTGCACCAGGAAGGGGGGTGGTTCGGGGAGGGAGGGGGCGGGGGGAGATGCCCAGGACGCCGCGAGGAGGAGCCCTTCACCAAGACCAGGCTCCTGGGGGCCAGATTCGGGAACAGAGAGAGCTTTTGAAGGTTCGGAGCTGGGAAAGCAGGGAATTAGGTTTGCACTTGCCCTTATGCCCAACGACAAATCAGGGCCAGCCTGAAGCAATGGTTAGGGCATCTCTCCCCACCGAAGATGATCAGGGCATCTAGAACACTCTGTGGAATGTAGCTTTAAGATGTAAAGTTGCCTGTTTGAGCTCCTCACCTTTACTGCCACGAGGGACTATGGGGCTGTGGAGTCCCGACCACTGCTCTTCGCAGTCTTCTTGGAGAAAGAAGGGATTTATTTTTCCCCATTTTTACATATATTGTCTTAGTTAATATGATTTACTTATAATTCTTTTTAATTTAAATTTTAATTAACATGCAGTACAATATTGGTTTCAGGAATAGAATTCAGTGATTCATCACTTATGACAAGAATTCCTTAATAGTCTGCTTTATTATTTTTTTTGTATATTCTTTACCATATGTCTTTTTATTGTATTTCTTTATACTATTTTATCCTTTTAAGTAGTCTTTCTATTTTCTCTGTTAAAATGACACTAACAGGCTTTCTTTTTTTTTTTTACTAAAAATATATTTTTTTATATTTTTATTTATTTCTAGGGGAGAGAAAGAGAGACATCATGAGCAGGGGAGGGTCAGAGAGAGAGGGAGATACAGACTCTGAAATAGGCTCCAGGCTCTGAGCTGGCTGTCAGCACAGAGCCCGACGCGGGGCTCGAACCCACGAACCGCAAGATCATCACCTAAGCGAAAGTCGGCCGCTTAACCGACTAAGCCACCCAGGCGCCCCCTAAAAATATTTTTTTAATGTTTCTTTATTTTTGAGGGAGAGAGAGAGAGACAGAGCACAAGCAGGGGAGGAGCAGAGAGAGAGAAAGATGGAGAAGCCAAAGCAGGCTCCAGGCTCTGAGCTGTCAGCACAGAGCCTGACGCAGGGCTTGAACCCATGGACTGTGAGGTCATGACCTGAGCCACAGTTGGTGCTTAACTGACTGAGCCACCCAGGCACCCCTACTAGCAGGTTTTCTAATTATAAGAGTAATTTCTATTTGTGTGTGTGTGTGAGGGAAGGATGTTTGTATATTAGAAAAATATATGGACAAGTACACACCAAACCTAATAATTGTTAGCAGGACATATGCCTGCTTTATATTCACTTTATGGTTCTTTTGTAGTACTTACCTTTTTCTAAGCCAAATACCATATATTATTTTTCAGTATAAAATAAAGATTTTGGGGGTACCTGGGGGGTCAGTCAGTTAAGTGCCAGACTCTTGATTCTGGCTCAGGTCATGATCTCACAGTTCTGAGTTCCAGCTGCTCATCTGTCTCTATGCTGACAGTGTGGCGCTTGCTTGGGATTCTTCCTCCCTCTCTGCCCCTCCTTCATTCCTGCTGTCTCTCTTTCTCTCAAAATAAATAAATAAACTTAAAAAAATGAACTCCATAAAAAAATAAAGATTTTTTAAAATAAAAAAAATTTAATATTTTTAAAAAGGTGCACCTGGGTGGCTCAGTCGGTTAAGCTCCCAACTTCATCTCAGGTCATGATCTCACAGTCCATGGGTTCGGGCCCTGAGTCAGGCTATGTGCTAATAGCTCAGAGCCTGGAGCCTGCTTCAGATTCTGTGTCTCCCTCTCTCTGCCCCTCCTGCCCTGCTTGTGTTCTGTCTCTGTCTCTCACTCTCTCAAAAATAAATAAACATTAAAATATATATATATATTAAAAATATATTGTTTTTAAAATAGTACTGTCAGGGGCGCCTGGGTGGCTTAGTCTGTTAAGCGGCCGACTTTCGCTTAGGTCTGGCCCTCCCCTGCTCACGCTGTCTCTCTCTCTCCTAGAAATAAGTAAAAATATATTAAAAAAATTTTTTTTAAATAAAAAAAATAAAATAGTACTCTCAAAGATACAAAGAAAAAAGTAAAATGGTTCAAAAGAGATAAACATCATTCTTGTTTTTGTGCGCATTATTATATATATTACATATTTATGTTATATATAGTATATTTGTATATTTATATTTTAAATACATATCATCTGGATGACATATATATAATTATACTTCAATGATATTTTACAAACTCTTCTTCTACTTACAAGTATATTGTGGGTATTGGGGTGCCTGGGTGGCTTAGTCGGTTAAGTGTCCGACTTTCGCTCAGGTCATGATCTCACGGTTCGTGGGTTCGAGCCCCGCGTCGGGCTCTTTGCTGACTGCCAGCTCAGAGCCTGGAGCCTATTTCAGAGTTTGTGTCTCCCTCTCTCTCTGACCCTCCCCTGCTCATGCTGTCTCTCTCTTTCTCTCTCTCCTAGAAATAAATAAAAAGTATATTGTGGGTATTTTCCACATAAAAATTAGACATCTACATTGTTTGTTGTTTTTTTTTTTTAAGAGACAGAGAGTGCAAATGGGGGAGAAGGACAGAGGTAAAGAGAGAGAGAGAAAGAATGAGAGAGAGAATCCCAAGCAGGCTTCACGCTGAGTGTCTCAATCCCACGATCCTGGGATCACAACATGAGCTAAAATAGAGTTGGACACTCAGCCAACCGAGACCCCAGCCACTCTATATTACTTTTTTTAATACTTGCCAGTACTGAGTTGAGCCAGGGGAAGCGGCTGCTCTGGGTCTGTGTCTGCATCCCAGAGTTGCCGGTACCAAGGATGGGCCTGCCTCCGAAGATCCGAAAGTGAGGCAGCATGAAGACAGCGTCAGCAAGGAGTCCTCTAGGTCCTGCCTAAGAGAGCCAACCGCATGGGTGAGGAGACCTCATCTGGGAGCTCTTGGAGGTGGCCCACCGGGGCCCATAAGGGGACTGCAAGGGACCCCCTGGAATAGAGATCGTGGGAACTCAGGAGAAAGGTCTCCGTAATGGGAAACTCCGGAGATGTACAAAAACTCTCCATGCAGAAGGAGGGGGTGCGTGGGCGAGGGAGGGTGCAAGGGAGGGAGTGTACACACACACAAGTGTGCAAGAGAGAGATCTAAGCACCTCGTAGCCCCAGAGAGCCTGACATTAGAACGCACTGGGGCATCAACTCCAATATTAACTGTCTTGTCACCTTGGCCCTCTGCCCTGGCGTCCCACCAGCAGCTCACGGAGTGGGTGTGGGCAGAAGAGGCGGCCCTCGACCCCCTTCCCCAGGGGCAGACTTCCAGCTGAAGAGGCCCAGGCTGGGTAGGGGAGAAGATTCTGTTACTGACTAAACTAAGTTTGACTTCATTAATGTTCTGGACTATACGTTCAGTTACTGAATGGAGACTGTGCCTTCCAGCCACCCTAGGACTGACTGAATGTCACTGAAGAGAGAGCAGAAAGTCAGAGGACTGATGTCATCAAAGAGAGAGCAGAAAGTCCTGGTCTGCTGGGTTTTTGCCCAGAGAGGAGAATAATTCCCACCGTGAGTAAATGTTAACAGAATGGTGAGAAAGAGAAAAAATGAAGTTGCGTTGGGTTACCTTCAGAGTTGTGCTTGTTCAAAACGTTTTGGACAGAGACCCTCATCCCCTGAGGAGGGTGCACAGCCCAAGGGCTCTCGGAAGCCCCTTCTCTGCAGGGCCTGTGGCGCCCCCCACCCTCTGTACGTAACCAGCCGCCGGAGCAGCTCGGTGGGGCCACACGCCTCAAGTGCTCACAGTAAATGAAGAAGCTGAGGAGACAGCATGTGACCTCGCCCCGTGTCACTTGAGCAGTAAGAAGTGGCAAGACAGCCGAGGCAGGTCTATATTTGGGCTTTCACTCCCGGCAGGCGTTGCTATTTGCAGTGGGAGTTGGGTCATGTTACCCAGCTTGCAAAGTCCTGCTGTAACACGGGGCCTTCGGGGCTCGCAGAGGTCACCCGGAGGGAAATCTCACTGAAGGCAGAGCACTTTTGTAGCATTTACCCGGAGTCCTCAGAGGTAAACAAAAAAAAAAAAAAAGGAAGAACTACGGACTCAACATCAGCAGGCAAGTTTTTGGATAATCGTATTATTTCTAAAGCAAAAAGGTAGAAACTCAGTCATTTAATGCCACAATGTAAATGCAGTATCTTTAGGGGAAGGAGGTATCATCTTAAATTGCAGATGTGTCAGTGACTGTGAACAGGGTGAATGTTTTCTGTGCCTTCCTGTAGCCTAGACTTGCTTTTACTGAACGTGGTGCTGGTATAGGGTGTGAAAGCCACTCATGCAGATAGAGGCTAGCAAATTCTTGCTGTGTGGTTGTTAGGGTATTTTTAGTGCAGGGGCCCATTTGTAGGACAGTATGGAACCCTAAATAGTGTTAGCATCTGGCTGTGGTAGCGAGTCGATAAATACATTTTATTTTAATTTGCATGTGCATCCCAACAAATCATAATTTCGTGTTTTGCTTCAAATAGGGGGAAAAATAGTATTGTAATCATTTTTCAGTCGCTATTGCAAACCCGCTCTTCCCACAGAAAGTTTTCAGATTTGGACTATGTCTGTAAAAGCTGATTTGAATTATTTTGTGTAACCATATGGCCAACGCTTTAAAGAAAGTTTCTTTAGCTGTGGCTCAGGAATTACCTAAGGGCTACATGAGTGAGCTTCTGAAATTATAGGCAAAATTATGTTTGTGCCCATATGGGCTCACTTTGGGGGAATGAATTCACAGCTTTCCGTAGATTCGCAGAGACTATTCTCATGTCCCATAGAAGGTTAAAAATCGGGGCGCCAGGGTGACTCGGTCAGTTAAGCGTCCGACTTTGG